GTGGCAGAGGCCAGGGACTTCTGGGAGTGGGGGGAGGGGTGGTGGTGCGATACAGTTCTTTTGGTTGGCCAAGCTCAAGTGCCCTGGATGTGTTCCCAACCCTGGTAACTCCAGGCTATGCTGTGTTCTCTGGGTCCACAGTGCTCTGGGTCCATGATGGGTTACAGTAGTGAAACTGTGGGTAGTCTTCAGCAGCATCCTCCAACAGCAGGAGGTATAATTGCATTTATGTGAAATGTCCAGAATGGACAAATGAGACAGAAACCACATTAGTGGTTGTCTGGGGCTGACATGACTTAGGGCATGGAGTTTGGTTCCTAAAGTTTCATGTTTTTTAGTGGGGCTGGTGAAAACATTCCTGAATTGAGAGAGTGGTCGTGGTTGCATAACTTTGAAGATACAGTTGGCCTTTCTTTTCTGTGGGATCCTAATATGAAGATGGATCCCTAAAGTTGGATCCAAAGTTGATTGGTAGTAGATGGAGGATCTGTACCATTTTATTTTAGGGACTTGAGAATCTAAGGATTTTGGTTTTTGTGTGGGGTCCCAGAACCATATACTGAGGGATGACTGTTTTAAGACCATGGAATTGTATACTTTAAAAGGGTGGTTTTAATGTTTATTTGAATCATAGCTCAACAAAAAATAATCATGAAATGCACACTCACAAATCTACCTCCCAGATAGAGACACAGAAGTTGCCAGTGGAAGGTAAGACATTTAGACATGGAAATGACCCTTATGAAGGAAGATGGTTTCTACTATCATAGATCCCTGAAAATAAGAGGACATCATGGAAGGCCACATGGTGAAGCACCAGGGTCAGTCAAAGATAGGAGCAAGAAGAAAATGTGGGTGAGAACCCTTCTTGTGGTTTCCATGTAAACCAGGAAAGGACAGGTGAATCAGGGTCAAAGGCTTAGGACTGGGTAGTTTGAATCATTTCAGTTGGCTCTGGGGCATAGGGACTGATCCTGCTTTGGTATCTGACTCTTAGATGATGAGGGCAGGTGGATGGAGAGTGGCCTGGAGTGTGAGAACCCAGAAAGGAGGTAACTGAATGTGTGGGCCACGGATTGGTTGATTTGCATTTGAAAGGTATGCTCACTGATGAGTTTTCTGCTAGCTCTAGGAAGTCGCTGGGCTAGGGAGTGGCAGTCCCTCCAGGCTCAGAAAGACCTCAAATGCCAAAACATTAGAATACAGAAAGTCAGAGACAGAGTGAATACTGGGGTCAGAGTCCTTGTCACTGTTGTGGATACAGAGCGCTGGGGGCCTCTGTGTTAAACACTCCACATGCATAAAATCTTTTCCCGGCTCAATATTCATATTTTTAGCCGTGCCTGATACCCCTACTGCTGGCTTCTAAAAGGTAGAGGAGGGCAATCCTCAGGGGCAGGAAGTGGGGAGGGGCTTCTGAACATTTTCCTTTAGCCTCATTCTCTTCCAAAGTGTGGGGGGTGGGGATTGGTTGGTGGGGTGGGGGAGTGCTCTGATGCTGTCAGAGTCTGAGAAGTTTGAGCAGTGGTGGATGGAGTTGGGAGAATGGTCAGCTCAGAGGCAAGCAGGCATGGTTATGAGCAATATTGTTTAAAATTACTCCATGCAAGGTGGTAATAACAGCAGATTGACTTCTAGTCCATTTTATTATCATTTTAATTTTCTATATACAGTGTACTCACTTATTGCTGCAGTAGGGGTCATGGTTCTAGCCGTACTCCCTACCTCACCCATTTCATCTCTGCCCGCCCCCCTGCCCCCCAAATCTGGGTTCCCCCCATTCTGAGATGGGTCCCTTTTTGCTCCATCACTTGCTTTGGATTTGGCTGTCAAATCTGTTGGCTCAGTCACCTCTTATTTCTGCTGTCCAACTCCCCAGGTGTAGTTGTTAGTGCCTTCTTTCCTATTTCCCCAAATCCCTTAGTTTTATGATTAAAAAATTCTTCAGGAGGGAGCCAAGTTAGATGAAGGTATTCAGTCTTCCATCAGAAACCAGAAGAAACTTTAGGAATTACTTTTCGTAAACACCATCATATGTCTAATCCTTCTCTGGAGCTTTAGAGCCACAGAAACTAAGTCACAAGGAATGTGCTACATGAAAATCTTTAATTTACAGCAACTGAAATTGTTACAGGAATTGTTACAGGGGACCCCTTCCAAGGCCCAAGAACGGGCTCTTGTCTAATATTCCAAAGTGAATTATCTGAAGTGGCAAATGTACTGACAAAGCAAAAGACTTTATTGGAAAGGGGTGCCTGGGGGCAGAGGGGGAGAGGGGAGAGCAATAGGGTAAAGGAAACTAAGAGAACTGCTCTGCCACACGGCTCACAGTCTCAAGTTTTATAGTAATGAGTTGGTAATGGGGTGAGTTTCTGAGTTGTCTCTGGACAATCATCTTGCTTGGCCCATATTTGGTCTGACTCAAGGTCTTTCCAGGTGGCACATGCATCTCTAAGCCAAGATGAATTGTAGCAAGAGGGCTTCTGGGAAGCTGGCAGGGCATGTTATGGGCTGGCATGTCCTCCCTCTTCTCAGCCTCTCCTGAATTCTCCCTGATAGGTTTCAGTGGCAACACCATGTTCCTTTTCAGAACCTCTTGTTACAACTCATGCAAGTGGTCATAATCGTGCCTGGCTAGCATGGGTGGTTTCAATCAATGGTTCCCTAACAAAATCATCTATCCATGGACTTCCGAGGGACTTGCTCACTAGACAACCAGAGAGGTGGGGAGCAGTTTGCTTGAGGGAGTGATGTCCTGGGACACTGGCTGTGTGCTCGGAGGATTTTCATTGCATGCCTGGGAGAAAGGGGTGGTGGTTCATCTTTCCTGGTCCTCGAGGAGCCCCACCATGCTCCTCCTCTCTGCCCTTAGCCCTGTTTCCATTCTCTACCACCAACCATTTAAGGCATAAGTCAGAGCATATTTTCCCCTGTTAACATCCTCCAGTAGCTTCTCATCTCACACAAACAAGCCAGTGGTTCCCCATGAACCCTCAGCTTTACGTGACCTGGCTCTGGCTCCCCTCTCTCCCCTCCTCCCTCTCATCACCCAGGAGGCACCAGCCCTGCCTGTCCCTCCCTTCGGCCAAGGTCCTTCCTGCCTCGGGGCTCCAGCTCTGCCGCGCCCGTGGCCTGGAGGGCTCTGCTCTGACTCCTCCTTTCCGCTGGCACCCCACCCTCTGGCCTCAGACTGAAGACCTTTCCTGACCACGTCTCTGTCCCTCAAGGGGCTCCACATAAGGCCAAGCTTGGTCTGCGCAGTGCTATCCCAGGTACTATAACATCTGCTCAAGCAGTAAAGGAGGTTACATCCAGACTGCAGGCATTCCCGTCGGGAGTGAGGGGATGCTAACAGGATCCTCACCAGGGATCCTAGTATCAGCCTAGAAATGTGAGGCTGGAAACACTGGGGACACCAGTCAAAAGCCCGGGTATAGCTCTAGAATGCTGTCTTGTGAAGCGGTTTAGGCAGGCAGACAGTTCTGGGCTAAGACTCAAGCTCTACTGCTTCCTTATCATGTGACAGGGATCAAGTCATTTAGCTTCTCTCAGCCTCAGTTTCCTCAGCTGTAAAATGGTAGAAAGAGCAAGCATCTCATTGGACTGTAGCAGCAGGAATTAGTTGCCAGTACTGGCTGTTTTGGGTACATCAAATCCCAATACATAAGTGATTATTGCCCCCAGAGATTCCAGGCAGGTGCAGTGGATGAGCATGATCCATGCAGCCTGGCCCAGTGGGCAGAAGATGTGCCTGAAGGACCGATGTGGGGATGGGGCTTGGGGGCAGGTGTACAGGACGGTTAGCAGAGGAGAGCTAGGGAATGTAGTTGAGCACCAAGTCCCCAGGGTTGGTTGGAATTTCTGGAGAAGATCAGCTCAGGCCAGACAGGTCTGGTTTGTGTGTCTGTCAGTGAAACTCAACCAGAGCAGTTGTGGGTCCAGTAAAACTGCAGTTTGTTAGAGTTTCAGTGGCTTTGGGAGCTGGCTGGGATGTTCTGGGAGGCCCTCCTGAGGCCCTGATGTTGGAAGATTGGCTGAGGGTGGGCATGGGGAAGGAGCAGGATGTGAGCTAGGGGAGCCCACAAGGATAGGCTAGAACCTGCATGGATTCCACTGTCTCAAGCTCGATGATGTGGGTATCCTGCCAGAGAAGCTGGTGGGCTCGGGCGCACCTGATTAGAAGGAAGATGCAAGGAGGTGGAGATGCCCAGGCCCAGCCACTGAAGCCCATGCCATAAGACAGCAACTGGGAACAACATCGGTGAAGTGCTGGAGTGCCTGCCCTGCCCTTCTGAGTATGAACAGCAGAAAGGGCTCAGCAGCTGTGCCTCTGCCTTCCTAGGCACTAGTCTCTGGCAAGGCGTCTCCTGCAGCCTCTCCTAACTAGAAGTCCCAGGGGAGGGAACTCTGGGGCGCAGAGCCCAGCCCAGCTAAGCTGAGAGCACCGCATTTACTGTGAAGTGGCTCTTCAGGTGGACACTGATACAGAAATGACTTCAACCTGGGCAGGTGGGGGTCAGGTGTGAAGCCTGAATGAGGCACCTGAGGCTGTCCTCTGGGACCATGCTGGTGGTCAGCACCCAGTGCCCAGTGCTTGGATAGTGAGACCTGAGCCATCCCAGTTTGACCAGGAGCACAGGAGAAGTGCTATGGGGCTAGAATGGGCCAACTCCACTCTGACTTTCAGATGGAGAATGTTATGGACAGGATAATTTTGTCCCCCACCCCCAAGTCCATATGATAAAATCCTAACCCCCAAGGTGATGGTGTTAGGAGGTGGTGACTTTGGGAGGTAATTAGGACCCTTCCAAAAAAGATATGAGAAAACTGATTTTCTCTCTGCCAGGTGAGGATACAATGAGAAGATAGCCGTCTGTAATCTAGGACAAGAACTCTCATCAGAAACATCTGCCAGTGCCTTCATCTTGGACTTCCAGCACCAAGAACTATGAGAAATACTTGTTTTTTTGTCGTTGTTTAAGCCACCCAGACTAGGGTAATTTATTGTAGTCACCCGAGCTGACTAAGGGAAGAAGGCAAACTCATACACAGGTACTGTGAGCCAAAGTTCATCTTGAGTGAGGCTGTATGGTGGACAACTCAAGTGTGTTATTGTATTTTGGAGGCCTGGACAGGAAGAGGAAGTGAGCTAAGACAGGTGTGGAGTGAGGGTGGAGAGACTAGCTCTCTCCAGGAAACCACCTGCAGGGTGGTCAAGTGTAGCAGAACCAGGTTAATAGGAGCCCAGGAGCTGAGCTGGAGGGAGGAGCCAGCATCTCATACAGCATCCTGCTGAAAACTGGCTCTGTTTCCTCAGAAAATCAGGGTGAAGGGGGGATGGAACTGCAGAAACTGATGAGAGGACTCAGGTTCATGCTGTTGCCATGCTGGAAGCTGGGCGGAGAGCAGGAAAAAGGACAAAATGCTTGTGATCCACATAAAGGTCAAGCCACTTGTGAACAAGGTCTGAAGTGAAAGTCTCTCAGTCCTGTCCGACTCTTTGCAACCCTATGGACTATATAGTCCGTGGAACTCTCCAGGCCAGAATACTGGAGTGGGTAACCTTTCCCTTCTCCAGGAATCTTCCCAAACCAGGGATCAAACCCAAGTCTCCCACATTGTAGGTGGATTCTTTACCAACTAAGCCACAAGGGAAGCCCAAGGTTAGTGGAGTGGGCAGCCTGTCCCTTCTCCAGGGAATCTTCCCAACCCAGGGACTGCACCACCTGAGCTATCAGGGGAGCCCAAACAAGGGCTGGGGCTGAGCCAATTTGCACAGCAGTGGGGGTCAGGCTTCTTCCCCAGGCTTCACCCCGACTTGACCATGAACTGCAGGCTCAATCCCTAATTCTCAGCCTTTGCTCACAGCTGACCTGCTCCACCCCAGGAAGACAGATGCTCAGGAACTCCTGACCCACTCAAAACCAGGGTTCAAATTTCCACACCAGGTATCTTCCCCACATTTCCTTCTCTGACCCAAATTGGATGGATTGACCAAAAGAATCAACTCATTAGTGAATAACAATCAGTGAGATTTATTCATATTATTCATCTGCTCAAAAAGTATTGATTGAGCATCTGTCAGGTGTGCTGCTGGGGGCTGGGGATATAGCAGGGAGACAGGCAGGAAGGTCCAGCTTCACAGAGTCAGTCTGACAAACAGATGACATCCAGCAGAACCACACCTATTGAATTTGTTGACTTAAAAAATATTCAGAACCTGAAAGTTGAGAGTTATGCTTTATTTGGTGGGAATTTTTAGGACTTCAAGGCTGGGAGGCAGAATCTCAAGTTACCCTGAGGGAATTGCTCTGAGGAGGTGAGGTGTGGGAGTCAGGTTATATAGAAGTTTTGCAACAAAGGGAAGATAGTCTGAACATCAGAAGATTATTGTTAATTAAAGGAAAATCAGATATCTTCAGGTTAAGGAATTTAGCGCTTTTCTATATATGGGAAGATGCAAGAGTCTGGGCTCACCGAAATTATTCCTTTGATATGCACCTCACCTATGTGGGGCCAATATCCTGTGTTTTCACCTCACTTCCTGAGTTTCCTGAGGGTTCACCATATGGAGTTAGCTGCAGTCTGATCTGCTAGATGGCAGGTATTCTTTCCTTCCCAAGTTCCCTCAAGGGCTCACCTGCTCACCATTAGTGGTGGCTTCAATTGCTGATGACTGTGGCATCCTTTCCATTTCTCTCTTTTCAGTGGTGACAGGTGCTGGAGCAGAAAGGGGCTGAGGAAGGCTGTGTGTAGCTGGAGTCCTCTGTGGTCTAGGGTACCCAGGGAGGGTTTCCTGGAGAAAAGAAGGGTTGAGAGGAGCTCTGAGTAGGAATTACCCACCTGGGGGAGGCAGAGAAGTGGTGAGGCAAATGGCATATCTGAGAAATTAAAGATAGCCCAGCAGAGCCAGAGCATAGTCCAGCTCTTTAGAAACATGAGAGTTGAGGCATCCAATAATGATATTGAAAATATTACCAAATTCTTACTCTTATAAGGCAGAACCACATTCCCTTCCCAAACCCATATGTTGAAGCCCTCATTCTCCATTATCTCATAATGTAACTGTGTTCAGAGATAGGGTCTCAAAAGTGTAATTCAGTAAAATAAGATCACTAGGGTGGGTCCTAATTGAATATGATGAGTATCCTTATAAAAAGAGATTAGGACCCACACGGAACCATGTGAAGACAGAGGGAGAATATTATCATCTACCAACCAATGAGAGAGGACCCAGAAGGACTCAGTTATGCTGACACCTTGGTCTTGGATGTCTAAGCTCCAGAACCATGAGAGAATAAATGTCTGTGGTTTAAGACCCTCAGTCTGAGGCTCTTTGTTATGGCAGCCAGAGCTGACAAATATATTTACTAAGTGCAAGATATTCTAACTAAGTCCTTTATACCGATGACATTATTTCTCAATGTCAGCTCTCAGAAGTAGTTGCCACCACTCTCCCAGTTCTGCTGCTGAGGACATCAAGGGACAGGGATAATAAGTGAAACCACACAAACCCAGAGATTACTGTCTGCATTCATGTTGCTTTACCACTGTATGGTTAGCATGGACTTGACTTCTACTACAGGACATTCTTGCCCAGGAAGATGAAGTTGCAAATAACTTTAGAGTTTGCTTCAGAAACTTGCTGAAAAACTCATTTATTTGGGTGACATATGCCTCAGCTTTCTCTCAACAGAGTAAGTAGCCTCATCTATGAAAAACTGATTGCTTAACTGGACTCATAAGCCGACCACATACACTCCAAACACTTGTTTCACAGTTCCCTCTGAGCCTACACTCCTTCAGAGAGGACTTGAACCACAATCCTGGACTCTTTAAGGAACTGTATGTAACTCACTGTCTTTTCATTGAAACTGGCCGCAGGACTTACTGAAGCTCAGGTTCTTTTTATCTCAGCACAGAAAGAACTTAGCATGAGGCAAACTGATAGGGAGAGAGTGAGTTTATTAGCATAGGATGCTTGTGAGAGATACAAGTGGGCAGGCAAAGGAGTGCATCCCTGAGAACAAAGAGGGCTACATTTTTATAACAAGATAAAAAGTGGCAGGGGAAGACCACCTCCTTTTTCAGTCTGGGATAGATGGCAAGGCTTACATCATTAGCTCCTCCTTTTAACCTATATGGTCTAATTGGGACTGTAGTGGCACTATTTAAATCATATATATATATTAGCAAAAGGGTGGTGGCATATACTAAAATATGGTAATCCATCTCAGGCTTCAATAGAGTGTCACCTTTCACCTATATGTCTTGCCTACATGCAGAAATGCCACTCTTCAAAGACTGTTAACTCGTTGACTTCATGTAACAAGATGTAGACCCATATCTATTGCCTTGTACTTTAACTGCACATGTAGATTGTTGCTTGGTTACTGGATTCTTTTCTTGAGAGGTCATTAGCTTACAACAGTCTCACAAACCCTTTAAAAATTCTTTTTCTGTCTTTAACCTTATAGAGGGTTTTCAAAATTAGCTATTTAATTATCCTACTCTATCACTATTGGGCTTCCCAGGTGGCACTTATGGTAAAGAACACACCTGCCAATGCAGGAGACATAAGAGATGCGGGTTCACTTCCTGGGTGGGAAGATGCCCTGGAGCAGGGCATGGCAACCCACTCCAGTATTCATGCCTGGAGAATCCCATGGACAGAGGAACATGGCAGATTATGGTCCATAGGGTTGCAAAGAGTCAGACATGACTAACCAACTTAACATGCATGCATATGTGAATCCCTATCACATATGTTGGACTGTGTCCAACAGTCCTATTGCATTTCGATTTTTCTCAAGGACAGTTAGGCCACCAGCGTTGAAAGATCTACCTTAAATTGGACCATCCAAACTTTGTAAATATACCATCTCTGCCTCTCCCTTTCTGCCAGGCGTCGGTACAAACTACACCTCCCCAAACGGCAGGGAACAATAGAACATGGTTTTGCTTGACCAGCCGATTACTTTGGTTGTCTTTTGTGGGGAGCTGACAGTCAGGAGGTTAAGCAACCAGTCCTGAATCATGCAGCTAGTGAGTGTTGAGATGTTTCACTAAAGAGTTGGGGTCCTAGTCAAACAATTTCCATCAGTTAATACCATAGTTTGCTTTCCTCTTACAGGATGGGTTTTAACTTTTCAGTTCTCAGTGACCTGTCTCACTTCTGCTAAAGTTCTATTTCCTCAAATTGCCTCTGTGTCCTTTTGGTTCCCCTTCCTGACCTCCCTGCATGGAGCAGTTTTGCCAGAGAGTCAGGAGAGAAGGCGGAGAAGGCAATGGCAACTCACTCCAGTACTCTTGCCTGGAGAATCCCATGGACGGAGGAGCTTGGTAGGCTACAGTCCATGGGGTCACTAAGAGTCAGACATGACTGAGCGACTTCACTTTCACTTTTCACTTTCATGTATTGGAGAAGGAAATGGCAACCCACTCCAGGGTTCTTGTCTGGGGAATCCCAGGTACAGAGGAGTCTGTTGGACTGCCGTCTATGGGGTCGCACAGAGTCGGACACGACTGACGTGACTTAGCAGCAGGACAGAAGCAGGAAAGTTTGGTATAGAGTCTTTGGAGGCAGATGGGCCTGGGTTCAAATCTTGGTTCATGACCAGTTGAGAGAAGAATTTGATTCCTTAATGTCTTTGAACTTTGGCCTGAGATAGGACATCTATCAATCTTCTGTATTCTCAGGGTATGTATACCAGTGCACACCACCCACACATGTCCACACATGATAGGGTGCTAGTCAATGAGAGCAAAGCTGGAGTCTGACATCTAATGGGAAAATAATCTTCATGGGGTTGAAGACCCAAGATTGTTTATATAATGTAGCCATCACATTGCCTGGCAATTAAAGGTGCTCAATAAATGAGATTAAAAAGGAGAGATGGAAACATGATTTACAAGAGCAATGGACATGCTCAAATGGTATTGTCCTTGCAAACCAGGCAAAGGCAGAAGAAAGGAAGCAAATGGGACAGGGATAGGCTTTATACTTTCAGCTGATTAAAAATGACCACCTGCAGACAATTCAGTATGGCTGCTGGGCTTGGGAATGTCGAGGAGGAAGGTAATATCATACTTTAGTTCTCAGGTTTCAGGTCTATTTTTCAACTTCCAGACTCCACAGAAAAAGTAAAGAAATGTACCAAGTAAGTAACAACCTCCCTGGATCTCAATTTTCTTTTTCTAATTTGCAAAAAGATTATAATGTTTATTCCATGTTGTTGCAGTTTAAATTAGATAAACTGATAAGTATATGCGTATACTTGTCACTGGGCTTCCCTGGTGCCTCAGACAGTAAAGAATCTGCCTGCAGTGTGAGAGACTTGGGTTCAGTACCTGGGTTGGGAAGATCCCCTGGAGGAGGGCATGGCAACCCATTCCAGTATTCTTGCCTGGAGAATCCCCATGGACAGAGGAGCCTGGTAGGCTACAGTTCATGGGGCCACAGAGTTGGACATGACTGACCAATTAAGCACAGCACACATATGCATATGATATAAATTAGAAAATTGTCAGTTGCTCTCCCTCTTGCCTGGCAGAGTCTCTGGTGGGTGTGTGGTAGAGCCAGGACAAGTAAATGAGGTATAATTTCTTGAGGAAGAGGGCCAGTGTGCCCACAGATAGAAGGTAGAGGGGCAAGTGGCAGATTTGGAGAAGTAAAATCCAGTCAAGGCTGTGGGGGGGATGTTGCTGATGACTGGGAGGGGAGGATGGAGGGAATGTTGCTGATGACTGGGAGGGGAGAATGGGGGATGTTGCTGATGACTGGGAGGGGAGAATGGGGGATGTTGCTGATGACTGGGAGGGGAGAATGGGGGATGTTGCTGATGACTGGGAGGGGAGAATGGGGGATGTTGCTGATGACTGGGAGGGGAGAATGGGGGATGTTGCTGATGACTGGGAGGGGAGAATGGGGGATGTTGCTGATGACTGGGAGGGGAGAATGGGGGATGTTGCTGATGACTGGGAGGGGAGAATGGGGGATGTTGCTGATGACTGGGAGGGGAGAATGGGGGATGTTGCTGATGACTGGGAGGGGAGAATGGGGGATGTTGCTGATGACTGGGAGGGGAGAATGGGGGATGTTGCTGATGACTGGGAGGGGAGAATGGGGGATGTTGCTGATGACTGGGAGGGGAGAATGGGGGATGTTGCTGATGACTGGGAGGGGAGAATGGGGGATGTTGCTGATGACTGGGAGGGGAGAATGGGGGATGTTGCTGATGACTGGGAGGGGAGAATGGGGGATGTTGCTGATGACTGGGAGGGGAGAATGGGGGATGTTGCTGATGACTGGGAGGGGAGAATGGGGGATGTTGCTGATGACTGGGAGGGGAGAATGGGGGATGTTGCTGATGACTGGGAGGGGAGAATGGGGGATGTTGCTGATGACTGGGAGGGGAGAATGGGGGATGTTGCTGATGACTGGGAGGGGAGAATGGGGGATGTTGCTGATGACTGGGAGGGGAGGATGGAGGGTAGCCATGCTGGGAGCTTTGGGCTCTTGCCTAGGCTGCTCCAGACCAGTGAGACTTGGAAATGCTAAAAACACTGCCAGATCCTGAAAAAGCACAATTACTAAGGCTCCCATACTCATCAGCACAAATGATTTAGGCCTTTGTCTATAGGTGAAGAGGTGGGCTGCCCTGAAGTCCTGCCGGTGAAACTGCTCAGAAATCAGTGGGTTCTGGGGGCATGTGTGCACACACTGTGTTCTCCCACACCCTACACAGGGTACTGCTTCACCTTTTCTCCGGCACCATATGACATCAACTAGCTTCA